AGTCAGGTTTGGGCTTTTAATCACGCTTCCACCAAGATTATTTTAACCTAAATGTGATGAATCTAAACTGTTTTTTCTAAAGTTCAGAGGTACAATCAAACTTTGATAATAGAAGTCCTGATCTTCATTCTGATGTAATTTCTGATATTAACCTGAATCTGTCATTAGAAGTGGAGACGGATAGCTGTGTTCATGTTAAAGACTGTTTTTGGTTCAGCATCTCCACCTTCCTTCAAACCAGAGTCAAATCAGCTCCACCTTATTATGAGGAGGAAGTTTCCCTGTGAATCTAGAGATCTGCAGAGGAAAATGAAGATGTGACCTGGCTGCAGTTAGTTGCATTCTTTTCTTATCTGCATTGTACCATACTGTTACTCATGTTAATCAGTCTTTTCTTACTAGCTAACATGCTGTTTTGTTTGAGCAAATAAAATAAGTTGCAATAAAAGTTAAGAATGGCTTCCTTTTTAGCGTCTTGGTGTCAGATGTGCATGACTTTAAACCTGGAGTCAAAATGTAGCGCGTTAAAACATCGCTAAAGCTTTCCATCCTGCAGTTTATTTCAATAGGAAACCAGAGAAGGATTCAAAATGTCTGTGGGAAATAACTTCCTGTTCTCACCTCGTCAATAACTGTTGCTTTGCGTTTTAGGCTACGTTCAGACCGTAAGAAGCAGGAGCAGCAAAAACGTGTATGCTGCTTCATTTTTGATGCTTGTACAAGTTTAGTTCTGGAGTGCGGCTCCAGCTGCACGGTGGAAAAAGTGGGTCTGATCCGCGTTGGGCGGAGCTACCCTATCCTTTCTTTGCCTGTAACAATGGCAGCTATATTTGCTGCAATCAGTGGGTAAAAAGTTGTTTTAATATGTTTTTAAGTGAGAAAGTCGACCTGAAAACTTCATCTATGCAGTCAGTTCATCCAGATTCCCATCCTGCTTTCAATTATTTCTCTCTTGGGGCCGTTCAGACCCCCGTACACCGGCAGTGTCACTGGGAATCCCGTTCAACGGCAGCCTCTGACCCGGTCGCCTCTTCACGGTTTGCTGCTACTGTTTCCACTGGCTGGAAGTCGATGTTATCGTTTATCATGTACATAATCCAAACTGCATGCACCAGAATACCGTAATTTTCTGACTATTTGCCGCACCTGAATATAAGCCGCAGAAGCTAAATTGCATGATTTGTACATATACGAGCCCCACCGGACTATAAGCCGCAGGTTTTTTATATTTAATTACCATACGGTTCCTGCACAGAGAGGATTGTCAGGAAAGAGCTAACTGTTTGGGGAAGCTCCTATTTATTATTTCTACCGGTACGTTTGTTTTCCATAATGAGGGTGTCACACAAACTGTCTTGCGCTCGCAATGTCCCTCTTTCTCGCTGTCGTTCTGTCTCGTACCACTCGCGGTAGAAGTCTGCTTCCGGAGGACCTCCGCATTCCCGCGCGCGCGCCTACCGTACTTGTGTGTTGAAACAAATGTGACGTCAACATGGTGGATGGTAAAATCCATAGATTTAGGTATTTCCCTACTGGCTGTTAGCTGTAAAGGTCCGTAGATAAGCCGCATTGTTGTATAAGCCGCAAGGTCGAAAAATGGGGAAAAAGTCGCTGCTTATAGTCCGAAAATGACGGTAATGAAAGCAAAAATATTTTGCCGGCAGATTTTAAGTTAATTTAGGCGTTAATAAATTGTTTCAGAGGAGTGATCATAGCGCTCTGCATCAGCAGCGCAGATTGTGTCTCCCTGCCAGCTCCCAGATCAGCTTCTCTGATTGGTTGAAGTGGCGCGTCCAGCAGCAAAATTTTCATTTTTCCAACTCCATCAGCTGCTACTTCCCATGCATGTCCAGTGTTTCAGATGCTTAGAAGCTCGTCAGGTGCTGCTCCTGCTGCTTAAAACGAGCTACAGGATCTTTTGCTGCGCCAAGATGCGCGTCAACCATTGACTCGGCATGTAAACTAGCTGCTACTGCTGCTTGCGGTCTGAACGTAGCATTAGCCAGCTGGCTGATAAAGGCTCCCTTATTTTTCCCTCAGCTATGATAAAGGTAAGTTTATCCTACTTTTTCTTTTTTTTTTTTATAGTGTTGGTTATTTTTGAGTGTTTAGCTATGCACTGAAATCTGCTTTAAATGGAAATTGAAAAAAAATGCAATCAAGAAATTAAAACTGAAAAATATTTTGATTAAAAAAACAATTGAGAGAAACTTCTTTTTTTCTCACTTTTTTTTATTTTTTTATTTTTTTATTAAAATGTTGTTTTTTTAAGTTTTATTTCTAGGATTTTTTTTTTTTTTTTTTTTTACAAAAAGTGGAACAAACTTCACTCCATAGAGGACCACTCATAACTGTTTAAGTTGTGCTTAAATGTTTTGAGAACATTAATTTCATTTGATCCTTTTTTTTATTTAAAGTGGGTGAAGTTCACCCTCTTATTAAATGGTGCGTAATTTAAGACACAATTTGCCATCAAACTGTGAGTAATTCAGAGAAAATATAAATGTTTTTCCTTTAAGGTGAGCACCAGCTGACTGCTGTGTATTTCTGTGTATTAGCATGGTGCAGCAGCAGACAGGTGGTCCATGGCGGCCTCCCTCAGTGGTATAAACTGGACAATAATTCCTTCTCTTTTCTTAAAAAAAACCTGAAGGCACGTTTACGTTATCCACTCAAACTTAGACATGTTTTTGTGTTTTTATGTTATGAATTTGCATCTGCAGAAGGAAGAATGAATCTCTAGCTTTAAGAGATCTCTTCTTTTTACCCAACAGCCATACAGGTAAGTCACCAAACTAAAAGTCTATATACTTTTATTAATTGGGAAGTTTGTGTGATATTCTTAAACAGAGACGGGACTTTAGAGGAACACTAATCTCATACTGCTTTAATGGAGGCAGGAGAAGCAAACATTGTCATATTTTCTTTTGGCTTTGAAATAGGTGAAGAAGCCATATTGCCATATTATCCAACATATAACATTGATGTCATAGATATCGATTTCGATGTCTAACCTCATTTTTCTCCGGGAAGTAAGTTATTTAATGGCACTTTGATGACAGTTAGAAAAATGACCTGTCTGAAGTTAACAACTCTGTTTCAGGTCATACAAAAGGATCCAAGAAATGGGCTTTGATTTATTGCAGAAATGTCCATCACCAAACTGCCAGCCCCCCTTGGTGGTTTATTCTCTAATGTAGGGTCAAATTCTATTTGGGCTTTAGTTTGTATGGATTCTTTGACGTTGCTCTGAAACGTCTGTGTGGAAACTAGCCAGTTCCTTCTGCTTTAAAGCCTCACCATGACACTTCCACCTCCGTGATTCACAACTTGTATCAGGTTATTTTTCCTATAACGCTGTAATTCCTTCATGCCAAACATGTCCTGCCTTCTTAGCTCCACCATACCTCACCTCCAGTCCTCACCACTGCCTAAAAGATTAGCTGTTTTAATGTGGTCTGTTCAACACTGAAGAGAAAAGGTAAAATGAATAGATTCCGTTTTTTTTTTAAGTTTTGTAGAAGTGGTTCATCTATAGTTTAACCATAACTCTAAAGAATAACATAGTTTCTCATAGCCACATATGTAAACAGAAGCAGGTGTCTGTTGCTGCTATGCTTTTAGAAACCACAGGGAGTGTTTTCTTTATCTATCCAGCTATAATTTATTGATGAATTGGCTTATAATTGAAACAAAGATTAAAAAACACTAGGCTTTAGACTCCCCTTTAAACCAAAAGTAAATTCTTCCTACTTTCCTAAAGAAGTATTTTTATATTTTACCACTTTCATTTGAAAATTTGTTGGGACTATTCATTTTTTCTTATGAATCTAAGTGCTAAAAGTGTTGTGGCCAATTTATAAGGTAAAAACTTTGTTCTTTTTTTTCTGAAGATAAAACCCTGATACAGTCTGGGAACATTTATCCTTTCAGTTTCGTTTAAAACTTCATTTTAGAATCTCCTCCATTACCCTTATGTCAGTTGGTACATTCAGACCGCCTTGCTGCTCAGCAAGAACAGGAAGAGATCTGCAGACTGACTCAAAATGGGAGCAAGCTTTGTTCACTGCTGGTGCAGATGTAGTCCTAAAACACCTGTGCTGTTATTACAAGCGAACCGATAACAGATTACCAGTTCAAATCTGAAACACCACGCTACTTTTTACTCATCTTCAATGTTTTTGGATTAAAAGTGAAACCAAGTTTAATGTTTAAATGCCATAATCTATTTAGATTTATGTAAAATTAAGGTAGACTCTCAAAACTCTTAACACTATCCTGATTTTATCCTGGTGCTGCTGCATCATGTTACTAAAAACAGTGTTCTGGATGTTTTGAACTGTCCTGGGGAGGCTTCCCCCACTTAATCGGCTACTTAAAAAGTTTGCCTCTTCATAGGCAGCCGTATTTCCTCTGGGTGGAACTCTGCAGTACATCTGCTGTTCATTTAAGCTTTTTTTTTTTTTTTTCTTGATTTACTGCGACAGAAGGGCCTTGGTTAGAGCTGCACTGAGACAGGAAAACACTGAGCTGCAGAGAGATGAGGAAGCTGAAAAAAAACAGCTGAGCTGCAGTCTGATTGGGGAGTTCGAATTTTCAAACGTGCCATTCTTCCTCTCATTGTATTAAAAATATTAACTTCATGTGCAAGCATATAGTTAATAGATTCTGGAAATTAACATTTTATTAAATTTTTTTTTTATTTGGGAGACAAAATTTAGTTTAACATCTTAACACTGTATACCTGATAACATCTAAAATCTGATTATTTAAAAATTATTTGCCATATTTTTTTTTCCTTCAAGAAAATGTTTATATTCTGTATGTTTTCGACACAATCTACCATTTTGTATGGCTGTAATATGACACCAATAAACAATAGTCGTGACTCTCTCCTAACCAATCCAAATACATTTAAAATCCACCAACAACCAATCAGAGAGCAGAGCAGTTTGAAATGAACGATGAGCCACCCAATCACAAGGCTTCGCGCCTTCCTGGTCACTGGTGGGTTTTGCCCGGAGAGGGAGGGAGAAAGAGCTCTACGTCAAACGTTAGCAAAGTTCGTTTTTAAAAAAAAATATTAAGTTCAATTCATTTATTTAGTGGTTTGGATTATATACCCCGTTTACTCTGCGAAATTAACTGCGCAACATAAGGTAAGTGCGTCTCCAGGTTTGGTTGACTTAAGAGAATTTCAAGTCTTCTTTGCGCCTCTCTTTGTTGGGTAACGGAGCTTAGCCGATGCTAACTCCTGCTAACGGTGAACTGGGCTCCGACTAATTTCTGGTGTCGAAATTAATATTTATTATAATTAAAATCAGTTCGAACAAACCTTCATGTTGTAACACGTATGTGTTCTCGCCACATTAATAAGTTAAATCTTGCACTGAGGATATTTTTAACAGTTTAAGCCGAGCGGTTTCTCTCAGTAACACTGGTTAACGGTTTTTAGCCAGCAATGAGATTAACATACGCAGTCATACAGTGCGCAGGAATTAGACGGCCCCTGTCGACTCTGATTGTTATTAACAGGTAGGAACTTATAATAACATCTATTCATTTTAGTATCCGGTTTCAGGAGTGACATATTAACGCCGTTGTTGTTAGTTTCCATTGATTAGTCGGTGGTTTCATGGTGGGCGCGCGGTCATTGTCCGTTTGGCGGATCCGTCGGGGTTTGTTCAGCTGCAGTATTTGAATGCATGACGTTTTCCCTCCTTTCCGTTTTGTTGCTTGTAGCTGCAGCAGGATTCTCTGAAAGCAAAGCGCATTTAGTTAAAGCAACAGTTCGCGTTTTTTACCTAGACTGAAGCGTTATTAATGCCTTGTTAACGCATCTCTTGTAATTAAGCAAAGCTGGCGACTAAAACTAATGAATTTAGGAAAGATAGACACTAAAAAAATCTATGGTTGGTGTGCGTTTCAGTTTCAGAAAATTATGATTATAATTACTTTTAAATTCTAAATATTTTTGCTGGAAAGCTGACTAATGTTTATGGACATGTGTTGCTGGTTTTAATAAGGTTTCGGAGTTAAAAGGGAGCATAGATGAATAGTTCTCCCTTTCTTTGTTAGAGAACACACGGCAGCTAAAGGAATGTTAAAAAAGTCCATGTCCAGATGTGGGTGGGGGTCTCCATCGTCTCTCTTTAATTTGAAACCCCACCCTCTGGTTGGAGCCCGGCTGGCAGTCTGATCTGACAGGATCTGGACATTCCTCATGGACTTGAGCCTGCAGACCTGAGGAGCAGAGCTGGGCTGGCTTTGGGTGTGTCATTTCTGGGATCAACTTCCATGTTTTTACAAGATGTGAACTTGGGGCTTATTGGGAACATTAGACTCCATTCAGTCAGACTCTGCTTGGTTTTAGGACTTATGAAGCCTTGCAAAAAGTTTTCTTTGTAGATAATCATAGTTGGGTTTTTTTTGGCAAACGGTTATGGTGATAAATCTCTAGGTAGATACTGTCTCTGTCCTGTAACAAAGAACCACTGGAATGTGAGGAAGTCTGTACTGGTCACTCCTGGTTTCATCAGCTCAGGTTGGTTTAAGTTTGTGTTTATCTAAGGTGTTAAATTACCTTCCTGCTTAGGTAATGCTTTATTGTAAAATAACTTCTTTGTTTGCTCTGTATATCAAGTTAGATTGAACAAAATAAGATGCAAAACATTTTATTCAGCCAATTTTCTTAAAAAGGGCCTTTTTCTTGAATTTAGCAAGTAAGTGAGACAGTTTTCCAATGAAATAAGATTATTTACATTTGAAATAAGAACAAAACAATGATATTGTCATATTACAAGTGCATAATATATTTTATTATCTGATTTTAAGGGTAAAAATACTTCCATTTACATATAGTCTAATTTACCTGCTTAAATACTCAAAGAAATGTTCATGTTGGTTTTTTTTTTTTTTGGTGTAGAAAAATTGCAGCCATGGTTTTGACTTGAGTATGATTTACCTGCTGGGTTCTGATTCTTATTTGTGATTGTAAAATTACAGCCAGAGATCACAGAGCTGCTGTGTGAACAATCCTTGGTTTCCTTTCATTCATGTCCCAGTTGGCGTTGAGCTGAATGGGTTGTTTGAGCTGTGGGTAAACCTGACAGGGACAGACCTGTCAGCAGTTCTGCATTAGCCCGCTGGTTTTTCCAGCCACCATGTCCCCTCTGCTCTGTTCGCTTTCATTATGCTGACTTTGCCTGCTCTGTCTCTTTCTATTGAGTTTGGCTCTACTGTAGCATGATGTTGTTCTGATTGTTTGCTAATGTAGCTTTGTGTTTAGCTAGATCTTTCCGCTGTGTTTTAGTTCTCATGTTAGTTTAGGAGCCGTATGTTCTCTAGCAGGCCGCTATAATCCGTGGCTGTGTGCCTCTGCATTACATTTTTTAGAAGAGTCACATGATGAACTGTTTGAGGTGGCTGTTCTCTGCATTGCTTTAGATATAATGTGTTAGATGTGTTTTAATGATCTTAAAGTTTTTGTTCCTTTGTGGCCAAAAATAACTCCTATGCTGCCTTTAGGGATGGGCAACGATCAAACTGATAATCAACGATTTATTGTGATCATGAAATACAAAACTCATCAGTTTTGGTTGCAAATCCTCAAACTACGCGCTCTGTAATTATGTTTTAACATCTTCTCATCTGTTGGTCACAGGAGATGATTCAGTATAAAAAAAAAAAAGAAGAATAGTACCAGGAAAGGAAACTGATTTAAATATTTCATCTAAAAAGAGAATAGGAGTTTTTAAGTGGTAGGCTTTAAAAATTAAAGTAAGAAGTGTGGTCGAAGAATGAAGCCTGTAGTGTAAAGTTGATTTATATTATTTTAACATCATGCTGCAAACATGTGGAGTCTTCTCTTAATGCAGGTTTTTTTCTACATCACTGCTGCTACTGCTGAGAAGGTTAATTAGTTTGAGTTGTTCACTTGTAATCTATTGGATTCTGATATACTAACTTTATCAAGTTTTTACTCTGATTATTTTTGAGGAGAAATCTCATAGGTTACTAATAACATTTAATTTTGTAAAAGACCATTGAAATAATCAACTGATACAGTAGTTGAATCATAGTTAGGAAAATCTTCAGACTGTAAAACAGAATTTTATTGAAAGAACAACCCACTCAGAACAGAACATTAGACAATCTAAATCCATTTAGTACGGTATTTAAAATGAAAAGCTGTTTTCTTAAGGTACTGATTATTAATCGATTAGTTTAAACTGCTGCTATTTCCCAATCTTACAGGCCCTAAATTTATGGTCTTGTTACATTTAAACAGAGTAAGATACTGATCTTCTTACTCCAGCCCTTTAGGTGGCAGTAGTAGTAGGCAGCCTTCCAGAAACTGAACTAGACCTGCAGTCCAGCAGGTGGCGGTAATAAGAACCGTTGGTTTTACCCTTACTATTTGACATCAACCCACTGATCTCTATTTATTCCCTGGAATACTGATAGCCAGAAAAAAGGGAAGTCACCTGCCGCCATCTTGGTACTCCCCACTCTCACCGAGGCAAGCAATAGAAATGCCTACTTGTGTAGCATTTGGCTGCAAAAACATGCAGTTTGCCAGCTGTGGGAAGATGTTCCACAGGTTATTTCACAGTCAGAGGATGAACTAACCAAGAAAATCCACAAATAAGCCGATGTATCCAGTAGTATAGTATGTAGCCTAGCATTAGTCTGGCTATCTCAGACTGACTCGAAGACATTGACTGAGTTAGCCATTGACATTGTGTCTAACGTTAGAAAATAGAAAGTAATACACTGTAAAATGTCAATGTAGTAATTGTTGATTAATTACTACATTAATTTTATATATAAATATATTAGGACATATAATGATTATTTTACTAATCCATTAATCTGTTGATTATTTTTTCGATTAATTGGATAGCCAAAGGTTCCTTAAAGAAGGGGTTTTATTACGAAATTAAACCAGGTGAAGCAAAACTTTTCCTCTCAAGGAGTTCTGCATATAGCATATTGACAGATGAAAACTTTTTTTTTTTTTAATGGAAATTTTTATATATTTTTTTACAATGTTATAGGTATAATTACTGTTTTAAGTAGGTTGCTCTGTGAGCTAAAGGAACAATTTGGAGTCAATACCCATAACGATTAATGTGT